AAAATTATCAGTCATATGATGATAAAGGCAGACAGTCTCATACTGTTGCTCCTGTGAGGTGTTCGTAGTGTTGCACTTGTTTGTACACACACACACAAAAGAATATTTGTTTAACAAATAAAATGAGAAAGCTGGAGAAAGGCATTCAATCCCTGGCTCCTTTTTGACCCACAACCACAGCATGAAGCGGGTGAGATCACTGGTTTGTCGTTTTCAGAAAGTGTCAGACACAGACCCTTAATGTCCAGTGTCAGAAGAGTGTGGGGCAGAGGGTTTCAGGCGGTTCTACCATTTGACATGAACGTATGTTCACCTCAGCACCAGTCAATCAATAGAGCCATCATTCATCTACCTACATGTGATGGCTTTAACGGATGCTCTTTATTACTTGTCTGTGTTTGTTTTATTAAAAGTCAGCAAGGCTTTGCTGTAATAGAGCACACATTGCCAGCCAGCTAGGCCTGTTTAATAAATGTGTGGTCACAATGTGTTTGGTTGTGCGTGTGTGTATATGTGTGTGTGTATTTCCTGTGCAATTGACTATGTTGTAATTTTGCTATGTGCTAAGTGCTGTATTTATTAAGTCGGCTTTGCTGCTTACTGCTATTCATGAGGCTCCAAATGCAGATGTTTGCACTTTCATACATGCACGCACACACACACACTCATGCACAGCTACCCTGGGTCTTGCCGGAGTGACCATCATCAGGTCAGTCGAGCTGCTGAATGCGGAGAAGAGTGACGTGCCACACCTGACTGTCAGACGGACACCTTAAACCAAAGACCACTGCTCTGTAGCAACATATGGCTTGACATGAATTTCTGTCCCCATTCTCTCTCTCTCTCTCTCTCTCTCTCTCTCTCTCATTGTGGTTTGAAGTCTCCCCTTACTCTCTCAACCCCCCTTGGCCCCCACATTGTATTCAGTGGGCAACTAGACATTCCTGACATTTTGCAAAGGTTGAAAGACAAAGAACCTTTGTCTCCTAATAAGGGCACTTTCTATACCCCACCTGAATGTAAATACTGGGAGAAATTAGGCAGTGTGTGAGGAGGTGTGTGTGTAGGATGGGATGTTTGTATGTGATGGTGGAAGTGGAGGAGGACATACAGGGCTACAAATGGGAGTCTGAAATTGTAAATAAGGATTGAGAATAAGTGGGTAGGATCGGAAAATGAAAGGAAATTTGCTGGTATAGAAAGAGGCATGAAGAGTTATGTGTGTGCACGTAGGTAAAAGGCGTGGGAGGAGGTTTGGGACTGAATATGAAGAAGTGAACACCGTTATGATCAATCCCCTGTCTGTAGGTTGAGACTTATAACAGTTTGGTTTCAGAGGCTAATGTAAGCTATTGCTGGGCGAAACGCAGCAGCGCACCCTGATGCTTCGCCCGCAGTCATACAGACAGATTCGGATGCTCATACAAGAGAGCGATATTCTTCATCACTGCAGGAGCTTGAAGCGGAACTCACAACACCCAAGGTCCTTCTGGTCTCTTCTCATCTCTCTCTCTCATCCATCACACCCCTCAGCTCTACCTCTCACCTCCCTCGGTCTCTCTTGCCGCCTATTCCTCCACAGTTTTCTCTGAAAAAAACTTGATCCAAAACAGCTGAAGTGAGAGAAAAGTAGTGATCTAGCAAGTGTAATCAAGGACAGAGGTGTGATGAAACGAAGAGGTTTAAACAGTTAGAGCTCACCATCTGGTTAAGCACCTTCTAACCTTTTGGTTTCGCTTCTTGTTTGCCATTCTACTTCTGCCACTTCTGACACACCTCTCCCTCCCTTAGTCTCTCCACTTACCATACATCTTTGGCCCCATGTTATGCAGCGTCCCCATATTGTCATTCACAGCTTTTTAGGCATTGTAATTTTGCAAAGGCAGCATTAATAGTAAAAACACAATACAGTTTTTGTTTTTTGTCTCAGCATTACATAATCAAAAGGTAAAAATGTCTGGACCTGTCTTTAGAAGCAGATAGTGTGGTTATGACATCAGTTTCCTTAAAGACAGCTATAGAGCCCAGGGGTTGTTAGGTACACTGCCGTATGCAGTGTGCATGTGTGAGACGAGCTCTGAAAAGTATGTCTTGCAAAAATCTTTAAACACCCCTATTATATCTTGTCTTTCTCTATACTATATTAGTCTCTGTCTTTCCCCCACCTCCCATTTCTCTCTCTTTCTGTGTTTGTACTCTGTCACTCAGAGGAGTGTGGGCAGATATGGGATCATATTCAGGCTTCCATATTCATTCTGCTAGCAACTCAGAAGCCAATATTAGCCATGCGGTCGTTGTTTTACCCATGAGCCCGTTGCCTTGGAAACATTGCATAAGAGGGAGTGGGAAAGTGGAATGCCCCTTGCTGATTGGGAGACAAGATGGCAGTGCTCCCTTTCTCTCCCCTTGCCTTCCCTGTATCTTCCTTTTGCATCTCCATTCAACACTTGTTCTAACTGTATGTGTCAAAACACTGCAGCTCCTCTTGCTTCATATTGAATCGACTCAGCACCGAGCACCTCCAAACAGAGCTCTGCAGTCAAAAACAGCATAACTATTACAGCTGGTCGGCCCTGCAGCCAAGCCTCAACTGCATTAAAGCTCCTGTTGGAACAGTGATTAATAGCCCAACTGGAAATGTTTGTCCACACAGTGCTCACAGACAAGCACCTGCATACACACACTTGTGCACACGCCGCTCTGTGAACTGTGTTGTGTGTCATCAGTTGGCTGTGGGAGGCCTTGGCGGGAGTCATGGAGGATAATGCTTTGTTGAATCCACTGAGACCCGCATGTTCAAGGCAGCATGATTTGACCTTTCATGGCTTCCATACAGGCAAGGCCATGTTCTGTCTGCATACCAGGCGGATGAGAGTGCGAGAGCAAAGGATGATAATGAGTGTACAGAGCATGAAATAAGAATGGCCTTGTCCCTGGAGACAGGAAAATTCATCTTCTGGATCCTCACCGACTTGCCTGGTTAGAAGGGGAAAAGAGGCAGGATCAGACTAGACACTTAAAACTTGACACAGTCATTTAGGAGTGAGGACAGCAGTTCATCAACAAGATGCCCAGACAACACAACACACACTTTGACATACTGTACCTGCGCAGAAAAAAACAGAGATGTAATCAGCGATCTGAATAAATCAGAGCTGCTGTAGGTTGCACACTTTCCACTAGAATAACCCCATGTTGAGTTTGTTGTGTAAATCTTTCAGCATGTAGCAAGCCAAGAAAAGAGCAGGGTGGGTAGCCCCAGTGTGAGGGAGCTGTCTTAATCCATGTGTTTAGCAAGCACCATCTGCTACTTTTATTCAAATGGGAGTAGAACTATTTGGTTGATTAGGAGAGGATCTGTAAAGGATAGCCGCACCGTTACCACCGGTTACAAGGGACGCACACGCTCAGTTCTGTCAACTGTCTTTAGAAAGCAAACAGTAGACAGACAAATGCACAGGCATCAACATGCTCAGATACATTAAGTACATGTGGATATGTACGTGTGTGTGTAGGACATTATGTTTAGACCTTCATAATGTTGCAGAGCGAAGCAAACACGCACCAGCTGATGCAGACACGTACATACAGATTTAAAAGGAAATGCTGCTTAGTGAGGTAATGGTAAACATACAGGAAAATACACAACAATATGGCCTGCACTTTGTAAATGTCAGGACAAATATAAAGTGACTATAGTCAAACTTTTTATAACAATGTATCAAATGACAGTATGTAATTGTAGGATATGGTTCGTGTTATCATTGCTAACTCTGACAGACAAGACAGTCCAAGTAACTTCAAAACAGTGCTGATTTATTCAAAGGATCACAGGTAAAATTAACATTACACGCTCAGGTATCTTGCACCTCCAAACTGCTCGCAGGCAGATGTAAGATGAAAGACCCTGAACCCACCAGGCCTATACATTATAGCCCCTCGGTTGGGCTAGCCCCATACTACACAGAAACGTCAACCGAGACGTCTCGGTTACCAGCTTTGCAGCTGGTCATAGCAGTAGTCATAACATGAAGCAAATCAATGTGTGTGTGTATGTGTGTTCTGTTGATTAAGTGGTGTGTAGCTAAAAACATTCTCACGACCTCTAGTACATGTCGTGGCTTAAACATAAGAACATATTATGGCTAAGGCTACAGTTATACACGTCGTAATAATAATATTAAACACCCTGTCTTCTGACAGTCATCAACTTTTCTCTCTAGTTATCCTTGACCAGATGTACCCTGTAGAAACTCATAAGCATGCCTAAGCATTTAACAGTCTAACTAGACATCCTATCTCCACTAAACATTTCTAATACATAAAGTATCTATCCAATATCTATCTGACTAAAAATACCTAACAGTAATGGAGTAGTGAGTTCTAAAACCCAGAACTGAGTTAGCATTTTTGCACTTTGAGTTCCCTCACACAAAAGTCTGTGGGTTTTTTGAATGGGTTTTTGGTTAGATGCCTGAAATAAGGAGGCCAATACATTGTCACATTTTGTTCTACCACATAAAATACATCAGTAACTACTTGATTTATTTTATGCTTTCATGTCTTAAAAAGACAGTTGCTAACAAGTAGCTAAATGAGACTACAGACATTGTGGGGACATTAAACATCATCACACTAAATACTCCTTTACTCACTAGTCCGCCTTTACAGCCTCGTTGTGTGTGACCACAGATAATTCAGTTTAATCCACTTAGTCATGCTGGCTGGCCTAGTTTGCAGACTGCATCCTTTTGGTGTTAAAATATCCCATTCATGAAAAGAATTACACTGAATTAGCTATTTATGCTGTTAAATCAGATTTATACACCACCGTCTAAAAATATTCACTCCCAATAAAAAGGAAAGGAGTTGCTTGTTTTCCCCTTCACAACATATTTGTATTTTTATATGCAAGTGTTCCAGTTTCAGTGCCTCAAATGTCCTTGTTTGGTTACATTCTTTGCTAAATGTGTGTTGTTGTTTTTTTTTTTCAATTCTAGGTGCTGATCTCGGTGGTCTGATGGACCTGGAGTCTCTGTACCGTGGTGTGCAGCAGAGTATTAATCACACTCGAGCAGGGCGAACGCGCAGACAGAGTCTGGACCGGCCCTACAACATCGAGGTGCTGCTGGGTGTCGACGACTCGGTGGTCCAGTTTCATGAAAAGGAGCACGTTCAAAAGTACCTGCTCACACTCATGAACATTGTAAGTGTTCAAGTGGCTCACACACACACAGACAGAGCAGTAGATGAATCCGCTATTTAGGGTTACTGGACGGCTTGAAATCGGACAGATTGCGTGTATCACATCAACATGAATCTGTGTTGACATACACACATCATACAGCAGTTCCCAGATGTCCAAGAGCGTGAGTTGTTGTCTTCTAAAAGATGAAGTTTTTAAATTGGCAAACTGTTCCATTTGAGTTGAATGGGAAGCAAGTCAGAGAGAGGTCAAAGGAAGAGGGTAACACACACACACACACACTCACACACACCAATTGTATGAGGATTCAATTCCCTTCCTACATGTACTCATCCAGCAATCAGCCACGGGTAATCCTTTCTTCTGTGTTTGAATATGATGAGATTTCATTGTGTGTGTGTGTGTGTTAGGCGAGCGCTGTGCTCTGAAGGGGCTCCCACATATCATTTCATCAGGCTTTATGTCATGTCATCATTCATGGTGAGTGTGTTTGTGTGTGTGTGTGTGTGTGTGTGTGTGTGTGTGCAAGGAGAAGAGAGACAGAACTGCAGATACAGCAAGCAGTGTGCTCCAGGCTACAACACTTAGGCAAGCACTCGCACTCCCAGGTGTTTTTATGTGTGTGTGTACATACAGTATGCTTGTGTGTTGGAGTGACACTGAGCGCACGGCACACTTTAATCTTTGCAAATTAAACCTGCAGTGAGAGCGCTGTTTGAACGCATTCATATACATGCATGCATGTGTGTGTGTCCACATCTGTTTGTGTGCATGCTCCTGTTTGCTTTTGCTCATATTGTGACCCACTGCGCAAGGAAGCAATCTCTGACTGTTAAGCGGGTGCAAGCGTACAGCAACAAATCCTGCCACGCCTCTTTGTCTCAGCTCAGCGCTCGAGAAAGAACAAGAGCCGCTGTGCTCTCTGCCTCCCCTTTTAGATATTTGTTAGACAATATAGGAGAAGGGAATACTCAGCCCTGCCACAGCCTCCCTCTAATCTGTGGGGAAGAGATGGAGAGACAGAGGGGGAAGGAGTATTTTAAACAGCACATTTGGAATAAATTACTGACAGCCAGATAAACAGAAATAAATAAGGGCTGCCTCCCACGCGTGGCAACTAGGGGACTTTCTTCTTGAAAGTTTGCTTTGCTCACTTCAGGATGGGTGCGCTCTCTCTCTTTCTCGCTGTGTTTGCGTGTGCGTGTGTGTGTGTGTGTGTTTCTTTCCCTCTTTGTCTTTCTCTCACTCGCCAAGCTGCTCAGCAGAACTGACTCGCTCCACACTCACTCTACACTGAAGCTCTTTTGCCTGACTTGAGTAGTTTATGGTAACAAATCCTCAACAGTGGTTAAAAAAAAAGAAAAGACAGAGTATAACCTGAGTGATGACAGAAATATTAAGACATGCAGGTTAAAGATATATTTTCCAGAAGTTTCCGCTAAAGGCACATAGGACAGGTCTTTGAGTTATTGTAATAGTGCCACTGCTTAACCACACAGAAAGACATAAAACAAGAAACACTTTATTGTTTTTTCCTAGAAAGAATTAAGATATTAGTTTATGGATACAACTTTTGTTAGGGTGTAGTGTTTACTAATTTAACTGTTTATATTGTTTTTACTTTTTATATTTAATACAAACCAAAGGGCACCATTTGAACATTGTGAAACCATCATATTTACATCATAATGTCTCCCCGGCACAAACGGTTACTTAAAAAGGCTGTTATTGCATATCTGTATTGTTTCTCAGCATTTATTTTAACTCTTCTAATCTACTGTATTATTATTATTTTATATTATTTTATTATTATCACTATTATATGTATCTTTCTCTCTGCCTCACTGAATGATTTAAAAGTTGAAGTAAAGGTTCAGGTGAATAATTTGGTCTGGAACAGCGGGGGCTGCTGTCTGCAGGACATCAAAGCACTCCTACAGAAACCTGCTAAATCCTGTCTGCGAAGTTCAGCCGGAGAGTCACAGTGTGTGCAAAAAAATATGTCGATGTGTGTGTTGGTAATTCTGCTTCCCACTCCTTTCCCAAGAATGTACCTCCCTTCCACAGTGAATTGGATCAATGCAGTAAGAATAGGTCTGGGCATGTGACTCATTACAAACTATTAATGAGTCAAAATGCTCAAGCAGAAATATTTTAAAAATACTCAGACATGGGCATTGCAAAACAAAAACAACTATAATATGAGAGAGCTGGTGCAGGTGAAATGAATGGCAATTAATAGAGCAATCCTGCATCGTGATAGAAAGGCTGGACCCTCTCTGCCTCGAGATTTCATTTGCAATGATTTATGTAAGTGAACAGATATTAAAGGGATCTGAAGAGACAGATTACTTAAAGTTGGACAACTGGAGACAAAAAAAACAACAACAGTTCATCATTGTGAGAGGACGTGCTAAGGACAAAGACTTCTGTGAATCCCAGTTCCCACCCTCCATATTTGTACAAGAAGAATCCTGACTGACTTGATAACCTCCGATCTCACACAAACTCACATTATCCTCCAAGACTTTTGACTTTTTACACATTTATTTTAACAAAGGTGTGACTTGACATGGGAGACTTATATTGTTTCCTAACAACAGTCAAAACTGGTTCATCATGACTAGCGTGTAATTTGAAGGTGCCCTGTTCAGTTCAGATCTTTATTGGAAATTTGATTTGCGGTAGCAGACAAACATGAACAATGTAGACAGTACTTACAGTGAAAAGCTGCTGTGGAGTTTTCTTCTGAACAAATTACATTTGTCCAATTCTGTGAGGTTTCACAAACATAAATGTATTTCCTTTCACATGAAACATGGGCAAACCGTTTTTCCTTTAAAGTCTGAAACCTGCATTGTTTACATCCATGTTTACTTGCAAGATCTCATGTTTTCCTGCTCTTGCGCTACAGTTTTTTATGTTCTTGCTCTTGCAGTGCTGCATTTTTCTGTTATCACCACACTGAAAAACTCCAGAATGCCAAAAAATGCCTCCAGAGGTCAGGCTCTCCACGGGTTTCCTTTAACCAAATGTCATCAATCATTTTATTAAAAGTCATGGTTCTAGCATTTGGAACACTGAACAACAATGTTGTCTAAGCCCACATGGGCGTCAAACAGAAAACACTGAATTATTTTGTTGTTTAATTTGAAGAACTTGTTTCATCATTGCTCATTTGAGGAGCGGCCAAGTTTATTCTGTGGTATTAATATGAACCTTTAGCCACTGATGTGTGATTCATATCACATACACAGCAGTACTTTTTTTTTTAGCAATTAAATTTAATAGCTCTGACTGCGTTGATAATATTATAGATGTGGGTCATGTGCCATATTTTAGAGGGCCTCCATTTGTTAAAAAAAACTGTATATAGGTTTATGTGTATCGTTACACCCTTTAAAACAATGAAGGTTGTTAAAAAACACACACAGTGTTGTAACTACAGTGTTATTGTGGTAAATTCTGTAAAAATGCCAAGTGGAGGCCACTGTGCAGTAATCTTCCTGTGGCAGACATGGTGGTGATGGACTGAGTAGCCAGCGGTGATCTGTCTGTCTACCTGTGTGTCTCGCCCATTAACAGAGACCTTTAGAGAGGTGCTGCAAAGTACTAATCACATTCTGGGTATGAATACTCACTGCTGATGAGGTAGGTGTGTGTGTGTTTGTGTGTGTTGGAGGTGTGCGTCACAGTGTGGGCATGTGCATGTTTAATTTTAAAGATGAATACTGGTACACTGAAGTGTATTTTGTCTGCACCTTCATACCTCCAGTATGTTATAGGTGTCATTTCTATAAGAGCTGTGTGGAAGTGGCGCAAATCATTCAGAATGGTTTCTACCAAAGCCGCAGGAGGCAGAGGAAAAAGTCATAATAATAAGTTGTATGAAAAGCTGGGAAAGGCCAGGCAATCCAGGTAATAACAGACACCTTGTTAGCCAGAAGTGTCACAGATATTTAAGGAGCACAGCCAGACTAAGATTCTGGCTCTCAGTTTTTATTAAATTATTAAATATTCCCATGTGTCTTAACAAAAATGATTTAGAGAAGCTGTCCAAAGTCTTATCTAATTTATGTAGCAGGCTAGCCAGATTTTATTAGATGACTCAGTTCTGTCTCATCAGCAGCTGAGAATGTTTTTAATGCATACTTCCAAAATGTTTACCATCAAATGATCGTTGCCTGTTTAATGGAGCCAACTCTACATGATGAGTTGATTAAAATACATGAGCTCAAAGAATGAAGCACTATGTGCACAGGTTTATATTACACAGTTACACAGTTAGTGTGAACGAGCTTAGTTTTCTTCATAGGTTGTTCTTAAGAAAGGTCACAGGAATCTCACACAGAAACAGAAAAGAGAAGCAGAGGAAGCCAGGAATGCTACAATGAAAATCTAAAGATGATGAAGCAACAAGTTCCAAACCGAAGAAAACCTGGAGTAGCTATGAAGTGGAGAATAGAGAACGAGTTGTCATATTTAGTAGCGTCAGTGGTGGATATAAAATAAAACAGATGCATGGGATGCTCTTAGTCGTTCAGTAAACACTGTAAAAGAAGAAGGGCGCACAACTGATGAAGTAAAAAGATGGTTTGATCTCAAATTTGAGGCAACAAAACAAGCATGGAAGAGAGACGCTGATCAGTGGAGGAGAACAGTCTGGCCCAGGGTTATCTGAGCTGGACCAGTGTGTCAGGGCCGTACACAGCTCTCCTGGGTGTGCCGTCAGCTGAGCGGACCTCCATGTGTGCAGTAGTGGACAGCCAAACACTTACACAGACGGCCTGAGCACTGGCCAAAATATTCGAGACACTTAAAGAAAGTAACTGTAATAAAGATATGCACTTAAACATGTTTGTTTTTTTAAGTAATGTGTTTCTAATTCTAAGCTACAAATAATCACTTTATAACAGTTCAATTAAGCTTTAAAACGTAAGCAATTAATTGCATGCTATAATTTTTTGTTTGTTCATTTTAAAAGACCATAATGCTTTATAAAATAATGTGAAAACATATTAAAGAAATGCTAATAATGACACAGTTGTTATTGTAATTTAAATCTTATGTAAATGCAGAAGTGAAGAAAACTAAATAACTATTTATTTCATCCAAATGTAAGTGTGCACCTGAGTGTGCGTAGATTGTTCTTACCTAAGAACAAATCCCAGATAAGAAAACATTGCTCAATGCTAGAATCTTTGTGAAAATATTGTAAGTGGGTTTTAAATACAGTTGGTGAATGTGGCCCAGTGTCTTGTAAGGCTATGTGAGCTTATATTGTATTCTTTATTCTTAGTAAGGGCAAACAAGGAAACAGACAGAAATAGATCATTCTCTCCTAATTTGTTGTTCTGATATAGTAGGTACCATGTAGGTGTGAACCTGTGGATGAGGTGCCAGCAGCTGATATGGCGGCAACCTGTTGCTGCTCTGTAACAGAACAGCTTGTTTCTGTTCGAGGGTTTGAGGCGTCAGCGACGGTCTCAACTATCTCTCACTTATTTGCCCCTTCATTTTTTCTTTTCTAACATGTGCAACTTGTCACTTTTCCAACCTTCTTTCTCCTGCTTCAGGTTTTAATTTAGCCTGTAACCCAACACTGAAATTAAAAACAACAACAAACTGACAGACCAACAATGGCAGAACTGAATTTGTTTTCTGATGCTGCTAAAGGTTCATTTGCATGCATTCTGTTTGTAAATGCGACTGAAACAAGCATATATTGTCAGTTATCATGCACATAAACAAAATCCTCATTTTATTTATTTTACATTTGAATGCATATAATTTATATGATTAAACAGTTACTGATGATGCCTTTAATATCATTCTTTATTCCTCGTGTTGCTAGTTTTGTCCTACCTTCCTCCTTAGTTTCAGTGACAGGCCATGGCTGTATTATTTATCTGACAGTAATGGTTTTGTGCCTTGCTGACCCCTAGGCCTGCATCACCTACTGCACAGACACACACAGACACACACACACACACACACACACACAGCTGGACAAATCCGGGCTATGTAGCCCAGGTGGTAAATAATGACACCTGGCATCACCCTTCAGAACGTCAGCGCGCAGCCAGCAGCATTAATGAGAGACATGCCTGTACAGTTGTTAACAAGGGACTCTGGGTGTGTGTGTGTGTGTGTGTGTGTGTGTTGGGTGTTTATATGTGCACGCATGGGAAAGCACATCTCAGTGAATATGTGGGTGTGTATAGGATTACGAATTGCTGTGGCATATCTGTCCTCTGGTGTATAGCATCTGTGTGTGAAGTTTCCAAATGTATGCAAGCATTAAAGTGCATGAGGCTAAAGTCGGCATTGTGTGTGTTTCATTAGAGCAGAAAATGTGGTGCTGAGGTCACTTGGAAGTCAACCGCTCCTAATTAGCTTAACAGTTGTCAAGGAAACGGGCTGGATCAGGCAAAGTGTGAACTGACACACCCAAGTGTCCATTTCATCTCAGACAAACAAATACGCTTATACACAAACACGCGCACGGAGTCATTGTGTGTCACTTCCTCATGTATATTTCAGCCTGCCAAGATAACGAGGGAGTGAGACAAATATTACCAGATGAGAGGCAGAAATACCAGTAGGTAGCCAGACAGACAGGCAAGATGAAAACGGCAGACACACACATTCACACACTCTGAGACAGGGTTAAACTGAGGAGACAACAGAACTCTGTCTTTGTTTGGTGGTTGCTTAGCAACTCTGTCTTTTTTAAGGTGTGAATAAAGCATGCAGAACATGAAAATGAAGGTTGCGCTAAAACAACTTCTCCATCTTCTCCTGTGTCCCACACTCAAAAGCTCTGACCATTTCAGGACAGTAACCCAGTCCTATATGATTATCATAGGTTGGTGCCACCGGCATGTTGTGCATCACATTTAGTAGTGGAAATTAAATAAGATGATTTCCAAGTACAATTTTAAGTTGCTTGAGTTTTGTTTGGGAGTTTCCATTTTATGCTACTTCAGTAAGAAATGGTACCCCCTACATACAATGACAGTTGCCTGTATGTCTGATACCTTTGCAAATTAGGATTATATCATATATGTAAAACACATAATCAGTTTATGAAACATGATGCATTTTTAGAGCTGTTGTTAAATTCACCTACACTTCTACAGACTAGAACAGAAGACAACTTATTTACATGAATGCTTTAGGTATTTAAGTACATTTTGCTGCTATTTGTGAAAGGCATGTATACAGTATTTTAAATGTATTGTGTTTGCATGTACTTTAGTGTTTTGTTTTATTTAGTACTTATGTAAAAAGTGAAGTACCACGGACTGTATCACAGTCTGATTGTACTGGTTGTTATTATACCAGCATAATCCCGTTGAGATATATCACCTCCTTTTTGTATAATTAAAAAAAAAAAATACAAAGTCCTTCACAAATGTCTTTCAGTTGTGAAGGAGTCCTATGGGAATTGTGTAGGTGTTGTGCAGGACAGTGAATTGTCTAAGGACTTTTCTCAAGTCTAAGAAAATTGCTCATGACTCATTAATTCTGGCTTGGAGACATCAGACAGTTTCAAAGATGTGCTGAGGGGACGGTTTAACAAAACACACATTGGAAAGCATCCAGGCTTTTTGGATCTTGACCCATACAAGGGATTAAAAGTCAGGGTATCTCAGTCTCAGGTTTATTACATCAGTTTGGACCTTTTTTTCTTGCAAGCCCCCCAGTATTTCAAAAAGCAACCCCAAAACTCTTTTGCACTTGTGCTGGTTTACAATTCTTTATCCCCAAGTATTAGTCCCTCTGTTCCCTCATCTAAAAGCTCTGTTGCTTTCATAGCTGAAGGTCAGAAAGTCCCAGTTTGAGTCACGGGCTAATTAAAGCCTCTATTACGACGTAAAGCTTTTGAGCCTTTACATTGCAGCCATGCTTATATGTTAATGTAACCAACTGAATTTATTAGAGGCAGTTTGTGGTTAACACATTAGAATTCAAATTGTTTTACCCACTGGAACTTCTAACTTTACATTGCATATGGGAAAGAGCATTAAGTTACTCCAGATTTTTCCTCCTTTACTTAAAAACCCTCTTCATAACTCTTTGCTGCACTTGCTGTCTAAGAATGCATCGTTTCCTCTCCCTTCAAAGCCCTTTCTCTTTTCTCACTGTGCCTCTGTGCTCCTTCTCTCCTTTCTGCTCAGCTTCGTCTCTGTTCTCCGTTCCTAGTGTTCCTTAACTTTGTCTCATACCTCTCTCACTGGGTGCGTGTGCAGTTCTTTTCCTCATCTCTGTACCTCTGTGTGTGTATAACGTGTGTGTGTCTTTCTCCACAGCATGTCCATCAGCCATCTCATTATGGCTGTCTGTTTTTACATCCTTTTGCCTCATTAAGCACCACACACAGCCACTGAGGACAGCAGGCCTCGACTCCGGTGCCAATTTACCCCCACTTGTTTTGTGTGTGTGTGTTTTGCCAGTCTTTGCTGGTGCTCTCTGCATCTCCCCTGTCACATATTACCTTGCCTCTCTGCAATAGACTCTTTCCTTCCTTTGCAGCGTTCCTTCTTCATCTCCTCTCCATCTGTGCTCATGGGAAACTGAGTTCCATGCACGTTCTTCACCTACTTGTTCCTCCAGTTTTGGTTTGCTCTACTAGTCTCTTGTGCTGCTAGAGAGATACTTTGAGATTCTTTCTCACTCTTATTGATTTGTGTTCAATTTCGCACTTTATAATAAGTTATCCTTAAGCAGTTCATAATTTGTGACATATTTTTGGTTCATAAATCACACAGAGCTTTTATTAACTCCTGTTATCACCCATGTATAAGAACAACTTTTGGACTCCCTGGTTGGTGAGATGGGCTTTCTCTGCTGTACAATTTAATTTTCTAGCTAACTCTTTAAAAACAGAGACCAAAACCTATAAAGGAATAGTGTGACATTTTGGGAAATAATCTTAAGAGTGGTATTGATCTTCTTGTCAAGAAATCAAACAAGCATATTTCCCAAGATATCAACACTATTTCTTTGACCTTTTATTCATATTTACAACTGAATATTTAGACTTTATAGAGAATTACCAATTTTATTTATAAAGAATTACCAACCATCAATCAAGCCATTAATTGCAACTTATTTAGATCTTAGATTTTATTATATTTGCCAGTGAAATGTTTTTTTTTTTCTCATGTTTTTTGTATGTCTAACTCTAGGTGAATGAAATCTACCATGACCAGTCTTTGGGAGCAAAGATCAATGTGGTGCTGGTGCGGATTATCATGCTGGGCTACGGCAAGGTAAAACCTGACAAGACACGAGTTCTATTGGAAAGTCAACTGAGAAAAGGAGATGCTATTTATCTCAGTTGGTACCAGCTTTGATACTAGGAATTACTTTAAGTACTTACAGTAAGCACAGCCAAATCACGCACAAACATTAATAAACAAACATACAGGCACACAAACACTCGCAACAATCAGCACACACCGATGCCTGAAGCCTGTTATTCCAGTGGACTGAACAAAAGAGGAACTAAAAGCATGCAGGGTCCCAGGGGAGTGTTTTCAAGTCGCACGCCTTCACAGTTCAGCACCAAAAGCACACAGAAACTCTGCCCGTTATGCAATCGGCTGTCCTCCCAGTAGGCTGCAGCACAGAATCATGGGAAGTCCAGGCAAAGATAAACAATCAATGATAGCCCTCCCTCATTCATAAACAGCGAGACCAGACGATAGCATACTTTTCTTTCTGACTGTAACTCTATCTGCCTGTTTGTGCTGAAGTGAGGAAGAGAGAGAGAGAATGAAAGAGAGTGCATAAGAGAGATAAAGCTTGAGATGGCAGGAATGGAGGAGGAGCAGGGATTACCCCACAGGATGATACAAATGATGTTACTGCTGGATAAGGGCTCTGTGATACACTTACCCCACTGCAGCCTTATCTCTTCCTCTCCTCTCTACATGTCTGCTGTCCCAGTGGAGCCCAGGAAACACACACACACACACACACACACACACACACACACACTCCTACATTGGTCATTCTGGGCCAGTTCCTATGCAGCTTCAGCCAGAGCTCCGGCTGTCCATCATCCCCAATTACCGTGGCAACAGAGCTGCACCCAGACAGCCTGCAGATTGGCTATGTGACCCTGATCGCAAGTGCACCCACACATCAACACGACATGAAGACACAACACACCATTACAAACACTTTTTTAAGGATCATAAAAAATACACTGAAACGTGCATACACAAGCACTTGATGAACACACAGACACACATGTAATGTACGCTGTCTGCGGGGTGTTTGTGCAGAGTGCAAGCTTCACACTCCGTCATTTGTGCAGAGGCAGGCCATATGTCTTCACTGCAGCATGCTCACACTACACACACTTGTCACTGTGTTCAGCTGTGCATTGTGCATGTGTGAAAACATCAACGAAACGTAGAAACCAAGGCAAAAGGGAAGCACTGGAAGAAAGAGATGGAACAACTTGCACAACACAGTGTAGCTGGGGCGGGGGGGTACCTAATGAGGAAGAGTCTCGGAGGTGAAGGTGAATGTAAGGAATTGCTGGCATCTGGGTGTTTGCGTTGGTGCCAGTATTATGCATTTAATCATTAGTAAAGATTCTGTAATCAGACATGTTTTTGACTATTAGTGCATAACTTGTTAATTGGCAGCACTATGTTGAGTTTCCTGTTCATTATTTAAAACATCAAGATTACAGGACCCTATTATTGTGTCAGAACAGTGGCTCACTCAGTGTGTGTGTGTGTGAGTGTATTGTACAGCTCAGCAATTTGCAAGGTGTGCTGGCAATATAGAATATAATGACACTGCCCCCTACAGGGTTGAATAAAATGGGATTGTACCAGAACTGAAACAAGAAGTAGGTACAGTAATTCAGTTTTATTTAGATTTTTTACATCCTCTCCCTTTTTCCCTTTGTGTATGCATATGTCTCTCTCTTTCCAGTCTATGAGTCTTATTGAACTGGGGAACCCATCTCAGAGTCTGGAGAATGTGTGTCGCTGGGCCTTCCTGCAGCAGAAGCAGGACACAGGAGACGCTGAGTATCACGACCATGCCATCTTCCTCACACGACAGGAATTTGGCCCCACGGGCATGCAGGGTAATGGAAGATATGAACTCCTCTATGATACTGTTGTACACAATGTCTGTACCATAGAATCCGCATGCCCATCCTTTTGAAGACCTAAGGCTCATAAGTACACATAGAAATCTCCCCTCTTCCTTCCTTTGCCTCATACAGCTGCATAGTGCACTGTGGCTGTGGTGGTTGGTGGTTTTCTATGCAGCAGAGTGCAGGCTAACAGACAGGCCCAGGGGAGAGGCCTCTTAAGGCAGTGGCCTAGCTATCCAGAAGCCCTTCAGCTGCCCTTGGGCTCAGCCTTCAGCAGCAGAAAATCAATAGACAGAGAAGGTCCAGTCACAGCTTCACAATTAAAAGCAGTGTGGGACAGACATGCACACAGGGAGCTGGAAATTGGCATATGTACAGCAGGGGTGAAAGGTGACAGTTTAGGGTTAGACATGCAAGCACACAATGTGTCTGTGACAGATTCCTTTGTTTGTGTATGTGCTATACATATGTATACCTTTGGATAGATAGACAAGTAAGTATAGTTCACCTAATTTCATTTCATCTCAATGATCAATAGGGTCTTTTGATGGACATGACTAACATATATGGACACTTATTAAGGAGTCACACTGGGGAATTCCCTGCTATGAGGAATAAAATATTGCTCAAATATTATTCAGTTAGAGGCAATCTATACAGAGTAATCAGATGATATGAACTTGACTGATCGCTGTAAACACTTGAAGAGCATTTGTGTCTGTTACCTATTCATTTTAAGAAGGCACATACTGTAGCTGGTAAGAGTTTAGCTGTTTCTGATCCTTCTCAGTCATTCAGGGTCTATTGGTTTGTTGAATCATTGTAAATTTTGTGGAAAACTGTGCACAAAAATTGTGGAAGATAAATGTTATTAAATGCGAAATAAAAGTTAAATGAAATGAAATTAAACATGATCTTTGATTTGCCAAGCAAATTATTTTGTCCATCACATTTAGAGCTGACATTGAAGATTGTCAAGGTTTTTTTTTTCCCCTCACTAAAGGTTTCAGTGCAATATATTAAAAAGTCTGCAAATTTTGAAAGATGTGTATCCCATCCTGGTTGCCTAGGTTACGCCCCGGTGACAGGCATGTGCCATCCGGTAAGGAGCTGCACTTTGAACCACGAGGATGGTTTCTCCTCTGCCTTCGTGGTGGCCCATGAGACAGGACATGTGTAAGTGCATGTGCCATAATGATGTCCTGAAGCCTGTTTTTATGGTACTGTACAGCCAAACACGACAGAGCAGTCACTTAAAAAACACGTTTACACGTTTAAAAACTTCGTTTATCACAGTTTTGGCCTATTGGTCGGCTCAGCCAGTATGTGATGAAAGAACTGCCACTGCCTTCTCTCTTTGTTCCTTGTTATTCTTCTTCTCCCACACGTTCCCCAATCTGTCTTCACTGGGTTGTCTCCTTTACCTTCACCCCCTCTCCACAGACTGGGGATGGAGCATGATGGTCAGGGGAACCGCTGTGGAGATGAGGTGCACATGGGCAGCATCATGGCTCCTCTGGTGCAGGCTGCTTTCCACCGCTTCCACTGGTCCAGATGTAGCATGCAAGAGCTGGGGCGCTACCTTCAGTGAGACACACACACACACACACACACACAATATCTCTCACATTGAGTAAGATTTAATTCCATGGGTTTTAGTAGATTAGCTGATTGACAGAAAATTTATCTGCAACTGTTTTTCTGGTGACATTTGAAGTCCCCCCAGATCTATGCGTTTGTTAATGTATTTTTCAATATGGTCATCTATAACTGGATGCCAGTGTACAAACATTATCAGTATGAACAGAAAATGAATAACAGTACAGTAAAGCACAGGTGTAATACTATAGCAAGTGTTTTAACTGTTGACAATCACTGTACAGCTACTTGATGCAACTACATTATAAGCCCTTTGTTAAGTGGCTGTATAAACAAAGTGTTACCAATTTCTTTTGTTTGTCATTTTTAAGGGCCATAACACTGCCTACTTTCACCTTTCAAACTGACTATTTGCTGGTTTTAAAGTACATTTAGCATCTTTCAGCTTGGGTTGGACAAACAAACAAGCAATTTGAAGACATCTGGAGCTTTGGGGAATTGACTTGGACATTCTTCACACTTTTCTTCACATTTTATGGACAACTTATTATTGAGAACATAATGGTTAGATTAGCTGAAAATAAAAAGTTACAGCCCTAATTTTACAACTGAACAGTGGCATGAGTACATGGCTGAAAATGAATGAAGAGTGTAAACTGTCATCACTTGTTTTTGACTCCTGCTGCAGTTCCTATGACTGTCTCCGCGACGACCCCTTTGACCACAACTGGCCGTCACTGCCTCAGCTTCCTGGTTTTCACTACTCCATGAATGAACAGTGTCGCTTCGACTTCGGTGTGGGCTACACGATGTGCACCGCGGTAAGAGATCCCCATAGTCTGGTTTGACTTTGCTAACATAGCTAGAGTTCAGTAACACTTGCCAACTGCACTTATATTGAGACGGACATACTGAAGGCAACTTCTCTAACTGTTGCCAACAACTTTTTCAAGCTTAGCATTTTTCAGCAACTGGGATGCTGCAGTTTTTCCAGAGTTGGGGTAGGCCCGCTTTGAATGTAGTCAGTTTCTGAGTTGGAATTTTGTAGGATAGGTATTTTATGAGCAATATCATTTTCCTGTAGTGAGCTGAAGACAGCACTGACATCTATCTCTGATCTACATTGTAATGAAATGAGAGTCGCACATATAGTACACAGCTATTCACATTCTTCTGATGTCTTCTGCTTTCCTCTTCCGGCCACTGGTGGGATTGACATCTTGCTTAAAAGCAGGTAATTAGTTTTGATAGCTGTTTTTTTATTATTAATGTAATTATAATAAATGATATTTATCTTGACACAACAGTTCACTTGATGCCACAGTGCCTTTACACGACCCCGTCACAAACATTATTTTTGTAAACACAAAAGGTCACATGGTAGACGAGCTTGACCCAGCTGCAGCACCTGGCCAGGCATCTCCCCCTAGCACCATCCCCCCGCTCTATGGCTGTGAAGCCACTGTGGCACGTTGTTGCTTGATTGTGTCAAAGGGTTTGTTCAGGGGCTTTGCACACATTGCTAGATTACCCTCTATTCTCTTGTCAAACCCATTCCCCTCAGCTACAAAAGGCGGGCCAGTCAGGAGCGCAGGTAAGGTAATCCCACATGTGCCCAGACATTTGTTTTCTCTGACTTTCTTTTTCTATTTGTCCTATGAAGTTGTAGCTGTTTGTAATGTTGCTCCTTACTTTTCTTTATTACTGTACTTTGTTCCTCTGTTCTACTCATTGTCGTACTTTGGTTGTTACTCTGCAGGATTCTAAAATGCTCATATTTCAAGAAAAAGCGGGTTTAAAGTCACCAAAAACACCGTGGGCCATATTTACTAAGAAAGTGGCTTTGTGCAAATGTTCACTGTGGTTTACATTAAATTTGCGACCACGGTCTGTGTGTCTGATATCCTAAGACAGCGGTTCATTTCTGAACCAGAGACTGAACCAATAAGACACACGCTGTGAGTGAAGCAAAGTTCATAGGCACTAGAAAGGTGGGATTTCTGTATGATTGCTAGGATCAGAACAGAAATCATAACTTGTTGAGCTTAATTACAAAACATATACTATACTTGAATTCTAGATTTTGAAATATTTTCTTTTTATGAAGTGATGTTGATAAATTAACATGAGACACCTTCTGTTCAGGGTCAAATTTACCTGGACAGTATCTTTGCAATATAAACATGCAGGAGGTAGCAAATATGTGAAATGAATCATTTTCATTTTATATGTTGATTACACCTATTAAGCGAAGCAGAAGAAGATTCATACCAATAAAATACTTTTAACTATTGTTTTCAGGTTGTTTTAACTTTACAATGGGTCAGTGTGACCCACAGCATAACAGGGGTGTTAACGCATATTTCTTTCTGCCACTCCATCCTCACTTGTGGCTTTTGTAAATCCTGTCTGCACCAGACACTTGCACAAATCACATGCAGACTGTAACTCCAGCCTGCTGCCACTGTCAGATACAAACAGTGCATGTTTAGGGCAGAATGTGTCACATCTGTGCCTGTAAACTGGGCACAGAAGTCTTAATAAATCTGGCCGTGTGACCCTGTGACCACTGGTTCATTGGTTCAGTAGCTGTGGTGCAGTTCAGCGGTACCATAATCTTTTCCTGCAAATCTCTTGCATCACTGCAGCACTGGCAGGAAGAGCTTCATTATAATGGCACATTCATGACTATAACTGAACAGAGGAGGCTGGAAAAATGTCTTTCCCATCCAAGGGGAAAGGGCTGAGCCAGAACAGAGCCTGTTTTTCCATGTTTCCCAGCTTTTAGGATCCTCCAGTCTGATGTCATTGGTGATTACCTACCACATCCTAGCCATTGATCGTGACTCACCCTGTAACCTGCAAAGGTCTCCTGTGGTTATGGTGGGTAGAGATGTCTGTGGAGAGGAGGGAGGAGGGCATTGCTCCTCTGATACTGGACTGCTGCTTACTTTGGTGGTATACTCGTAGTAAATGGCTCATATTAGACGAGGAAAATTTGGTCCTCAATCTGTGTCTAGGGGCATTTTAGAGGTCACTGAGACCTCACCTTTTGGCCTTTTACCTTGTCGCCCTCTGCCCTCTGACCTCCCTTGTGACCAAATTAAACCATTGGGCTGTCTCATTCTGAGAGTCTTGTTTCTCTCATCCTTGGTTTAGTTTGCATGAATGGCTGTGTGTTTCTCAGTGGAGCGTAGTGTACAGTGCACAGTACAGGGTCGGTGTTGTTATTGTTATAATACAGGTGTGGTTACTGTTGTTGTGATATCTCTCTTCTCATCTCTCATTTATTTCCTATTTTCAGTGTTCAGTCTCA